AAAAAAAAAATAGAAACAAAAAAAAAAGATGAAAAATGAAAATGATCGAAGAGAAAGAAGGAGCCACCGGTAAAAATCGATTAGATTCATCGTCTCGTATTATTTTTTATTTTTTTTTCTTTTGTTTTGTTTTGTTTTTCACCTTTCAACCTTTCTTTCTTTCTATCATTCAATTATTTTCTTAATAATCCTTAATTATAATGTACATGAGAGAGATTTTTTTTTTATATTTCTTATATACTTTGTATATATATATGTATACGTATATATATATATATATATATATATATATTATATATATGTTATATATATACATACATATAGATAATAATATGTGTATATATATATATATCATATATAAAATGATAATCGCGACTTTCGTAAAGGAAATACAACGGGAGATAAATGAAAAAACGTGACATCGTTGTTCGCAATTGCTTGAGTAAGGATATGGATTAGCACAGCGTGGCCTTGAATTCTTTTCTTTTTTTTTAAATCTTTTCCCACGCATTAACGCTTTCTCTCTCTCTCTCTCTCTCTCTCTCTCTCTCTCTCTCTGTTTCTCTTTCGCTTAATCTCACTTTCTTCTTTCACTCTTAAAATCTTCTTTCTTCAAGCTTCAATCCTTCATCTTCATGTTCATCTCGTTTACGTTTTTATCATCCATCTATCACTTTCTTACGTCTCGAAGTGTAGCCGCATATTTGAGATAACGCAACTAGGATATGATGATTCGAGGGGTTTCGTAGGAAGAGCTGAGCTTGAACGACGACCATCATTACCACCATCAGCAAACTTAGAAGTTTCTTCTTCAAGAAGATTTCTTCTTAGTACCTTCTTCCATTTTGGTCGTGTTAAAAACGTACTATGGAATTTTTCGAATGATTCGAAAAATGTGTCGTCCTTTTTCTTCATCTTCATCTTCATCTTCATCTTGACATTTGTCTCATTTAATAATAGTTGTTGATCATATTCATCAGCTTCATTACGATTTTTATGTTCTCCTCTTTCTCCTCCTCCTCCTTCTCCTCCTCCTATTTTGACCCTTTTCTTCCACCTCCTTTGAAAACTCGTTCGTCCTCGAACTCGAACGAGACAGCAGCCTAACACAGTACCGTCCTCCTATCGGGCTCGAGCCGAACGATACTACGCCTCAATCTGATCCTCCGGGCTCATTATGTCGGGTGCCATCGAAAGGTCCTCTGCAATATCCTCGTCCTGTCCTGAATCGTGTTCGTGACTTTCAGGATACTCTCTCTCGTCAACTTGATCATCCTCTGCTTCTTGTTCCGTTTGCGCATCCATCAATTCACGTTTTATTAATCTCGTTAGCTTACCCCCCTCCGGGCTCTGACCTTCCTGCTTTATATGCACTCCTGGTTCATCCAGTGGTGACCTATTTTTTATTTTATTTTTTTTAATTTTTTTTTTTTTTTTAAATCAAATACAAATACAACATTGTTAATTTAATTATTTTTGATATATATTTTGGAAAGGGTTTGTTTGGGGTTGTTGAAATATGTGGATTGAATTTGAAGAATTAATTGGTTTTTGTTTTGATGTATTATGCAATTGATTGATTAATTTGTTTAATTAAAGTCAAGATATATGTTTGATATGCAATTTAGAACTTATAATTATATTATTATTTAATTTATATACATATATGTAATTTAGAAGAATATATTATTTATATAATTATAATTTAGAAATTGTAATACCATTTTTTTTTAATATTAAAAATTAATAATTCTTAAAATGTATCCACATATTTTGGTAACGTTCTCAAAATATATTTTTCTCAAATTATTTTTATAATAATTTTTAAATTCAAAGATAATTCCTTTTCAATTTAAATCTCTATGAAAATCTCATCCATGAGACGTTACCACAATTAAATTATATAAGATTTATAATAAAAATAATATAATTCACAGAAAAATATTAATAATAATAATAACGTTATTAATGGAATAAGAATATAATTGAATATTAATTATCTTGAAAAATTTATGAAATTTCCTTTTTTTTTGAGGGCATACGAATAAACCGATGTAAAAATATGACAGGACATTTTTGACGTTCGTCATAATGAATTATTTAATCGTTAAAAATGAAAATAGATGATCAAGATGAATTAAACTTACATTAAATCGTTGTGAGATAAAACGTGTTCCTTATCAGGGCTCGTTGCTGTCGACGTACACATCGAGTTATTTAAAAATCCCATATTAGACTCCCCGAGTGCAGCCTGGAAATACTCAAATTGCATTAGACGGTTAGTCATCGATGCCTTTTTCTATTTTTCGTTGATTTTTTTATTTTTTTTTTTTTTATTTATAATTCCAATCTTTTCACTTAACACACAACACACACCCAAAGGTAATAATGTAATGTTTATAGTAGCCATTAACCCTTTCAATACGACGACAAATCAGTCCGAGTGCGTCCCATTACAAAGATCAGTTCATTTCTCCTTCCAAACGATTATTTAATAAAATAATTTTAATACCTAAAAGATTGAAGAACTCGGAGACCCATAAACATCCTCATAACAGTGCACCATCAACAACAGTGATTACATAATTGAATTTTGTCTCAGCCAATGCGAAAGGGTTCAAATGCATTTGATAAAAATCATGTTTATATTTAATGAGAATGAAAACAGAAGTGTTGATGACAAACTGTTAATTATTATTATTATTATTAATTGGCATTAGGAACTTAAAAGTTCATTGCCGCAAATATCAAATCCCGGGGCCATTGTTCCCATCCCTGAGCGCAATCCTTCCATTCGCGATCTTCGTATCCTATTTTTGTCAGGTCCCTTCTAACATTATCCTCCCATCTACGTCTTGTTCAACCTAGTGGTCTTTTCCCATTTGGTATATCAACGAATATTTTGTGCACCGTTCGATCCACCCCCATGCACCGTCCTACGTCATCAGCCCATCTTAATCGGCGTGATTTTACGACGTTGATAATGTCCGAGTTTGTTGTACAATCGATGTACTTCAACGTTATGGTGTTTTTTTCTCCATTCGGCCGTTTCCTCATCGCGTATTGCATCGAAGATTTTACGAAAAACTTTGTTTTCGAAAATCCTACATTTGTTTTCGTCCCATAACGTAAGCGACCACGATTTGCTACCATAAAGGACTACCAGGCAGGATGATTGTCCTGTATATCCTAATTTTTAATCGCCTAAACAGCAACCGCGAACTGAGTAATTTGTTAACCGAATAAGATGACAAATTGTTAATTATTATAATATAAATTAGGATTAAAAGTAACCTATATTCGTGTCTTATAATAACCAAAACTTTTCTAATTGTTCCCTCAACTCCGGTTGTCGTAAAGAACGTATGGTTTCCCATATGACTCGTCCGATTCGATTCCACCAGCGACGGACGAGCACCCAGCCTAATTGCGTTTTCTGAAGTATCAAAGATTAAAGGTAACCTAATTGTTAATAGTTACCTGGAGATTGGCATTTAGAGCATCACCATACATCGTAGGACTGTGAGTGAGCGTTGGGCTTTTCGATGGTACACCCCTAGATATTGAAAGAGAAAAATGACATTAGAAATTCGTAGGATCATTTGAAACAATAATCATTTTCCTGAAAAGATAATGATACAAAAAAAAAAAAAAGAAAAAAACAGAATTATGTGTAATATGTGTGTGTAGTATTTTTTGTTTGCATGTATAAGTAAGTGTTGTTACGTGTCAGAGAAATATATTTTAGAAGATTAAAATGTGTATCATGAGTATGGTGTATGTGTATACGTGTGTATACGTTTTTATATATTATGAGATTATAAATAGTAAAAAGATTTTGATTAAAAATAGATTAAGATAGAAAATAGAGAGAAAATGGAAATAGGGAAATAGTTGAATAGAGATAGAAAATAGTAGATAGATAAAAAGTATATATAAATATTGAAAATAGAATTATATAGTTTAAAATACACACACACACATATAATATATATATATAATATTATTTACAATAGAAAAAAGTAGTAGTAGTAGTAATAATAGTAATTATTCTATTAATGAAAAAGATTTAAAAAACAGTAAAAAAAGAGTTTGTAAACTCTTACCTATTACCCTTTCTTTTTTTTTCTTTTTTATTATTTTTCTTTGTCTTTTTTTTTTTTTTTTTACTCCCACTCGGTCCAATCGGTCAGGAAGAATATTTTCGAGTGAGATTAGATTAGAGTAATATTGACAAAAAAAGAACTTGAAGAGAAGAAATAAAAGCGCCCTCGTTTCACATCTTATTCATTATTTTTTTTATTTACATTTATTTTTTATTTTTTTTTATTTTTTTTTATTTTTTTTTTAATCAAACAATTTGTGTATTATTGTAAAAAGAATATTTGTGAAACGATTTCGTTACTTATAAATGGCTTTCAGAATTACCTGTGAAGCTTACCTTNTTTTTATTTAAAAAAGAAAAATTAGGATTATTAATAATTAAATAATAAAAAACAAAAAAAAAACAAAAAAAAAACAAATTATTTAGTAAAGAGAATCGTTAACGTGATTTCATTTAATAACACATTTAATTTCTTACTTAGGTGAAATCGGTACATTTTTACAAGGCAACTTAAATATTACTGTTATACGTTGTAAATTGATCTTTCATTGTCAGACGGCAAAAAGGGGTATTGGGGAGAGGGTGGGCCAAGGGTTGTCCTAAAAGTTATTACATTCTCATGTTAAATCATAAATAAGTTTTTACTTGTTTTTTTTTTTTCGTTTTTATAAATATTCTTCATCTCTCTCTCTGTCTGTCTGTCTGTCTGTCTGTGTGTCTGTCTCTCTTGTTTCAATTGGATAATACGATGATTTATCTTTGAATGTATTAATAGTTTGAGCTCGCTTTTTTTATAGTCCACATTTTTCTTGTTTTCCCCCTGATTATTATTATTTATCAAACATACTTATGTTGTTTTTCTTTTCTTTTTTTTTTTGATCCTTGTGTAGTGTGTGTGTGTATGCACATAATATTACGTTTAAATTCTATTGTACATTGATTGATTGATTGATTAATTGATTGATTGATTGAAATTATTTATGATAAATACAATGTTTTTTATTATTATTAAAAATGTAATATTAAACGTAACATTTGAGCATAAACTAAGGGGAGGAAGGATCAAATATTTAACATTTAATACTGTTACTTTATTTTTGCATTAAAGAAAAATAAAAGAAAGAAAAAAAAAATTAAATGACCGTATATAAGCGAAGAAAATAATAATTCTAACGTACACCCGTAAAATGATTTAAAAAATTTTTGTTTGTTTTTTGTTTTTTATACACACGTGATTAATACAAAATTATTTTGAAGTGAAATAATTTTTTTTTACTTAAATGTTGAGTTACGTGAATGTTGAGATAAAAGTTGATACGTTAAAAGAGATAAGATATTAATAAAAATAAAATTTATTTAAAAAGAATTGGATGATATTAAATATCAAAGTATTTTGTTTAAAATACGAACGAACCAAAGAAAAATAATTAACAAAATAAAAAAAGAATAAAAAATAAAAAAAGACAAAAGTTATATGTAAATTGTAATTAACAATAATACGATTATTAGGCCAGTAGTAGACGCGCGCAGGGTTGGTACATCGTCATCGATTTTATTTTTTATTCTTTTATTTTATTTTTATTTTTATTTTTATTTTTAAATGGTCACAGATCATTTCGTTTCGTATATTAATAATAATAATCATGCGTTTTCGTTTTTTTTTTTTTTATTTTTTTTTTATTTTATTTTAAATCGACTTTATTCTCTACGATCTTTGCTACGTGCTTCTTCGTACTTGATATGGAGGAGGAAAATTCGTGTCCCTTTTTTTTTTTCCTTTTTTTTTTACAAACAAAAAACAATAAAAAAAAATAAAAAAGGAGAATAAAACCGATCCGACGTAAGAAACATTATTATCATTCGACTTCGTGAATAATAAATTAATTATACCCGTTGTGTTTAACTATTTTTATTCATTTTTTTTCTTTTTCTTTTTCTTATTTCTTTAACCCTTTCGCTACGGACGACTTTCTCCGTCGTGGTATTTATTTCCAGCTGAACGTGCCCCTGCGCCAAAAATGGGCAACACGGTGCTCGAATTAAACCTTTCGTTACATGCGTCTTTCTTTTCTTCTATTGTACGGGGGGGCTGCTAATACGTGCAGCTGCATCGAAATTGCACTTTATTTATTTTCAAGTAATTTTCTTCTTGATATTATTAACAACAGTATTGTTTCGAGAGCGACTATAGTCGCCCGTAATGGCGAAAGGGTTAATATTTCATCTTATATAATATATTATCATTCAAACCACGAGAACATCTCTTCGCAATTTTACACCGGGGGGAGGGGGAGGGGGAGGGGGGGAAGTAATTCGTTCCGTTCGTATGAAAAAATCAAAAACCTTAAAAAAGACGTCCTTACGATTCTGGGAGGGATGAAAAAGGGTTGGTTGGTTGGTTGGTTGGTTGGTTGGTTGGTTAATTGTACAGGAGATATGGGAAAGGGGTAGTTATGGTTATCGTTGGTTTCAGATTGTTGTTTGGGTTGTCTCTTATCCGGAAATATATGTATATATATATATATAACAAATTTTAACAGAAAAACACATGTTTTTTCATTGATTTTTTTCTTTTTTTTTTTTGTTGTTTTGTTTTTTAAATATGTATAATATTTAATAATATCTGCGAGTAACATCGACGCGACACTATAATACAAGAATTGTGGGACAATTTGATGAGTGTTTTATGGTTAGGGGTGGGTATGGGGTAGGTTTCAGTAAAAGGATTGTTATAAACAGAAATACAAATGTTCTAAGAGAGGGTGTTTCATTTAAAAGTTAGGTATGGGGTAAGTTTTTGAGTAGAAGGATTGTTATAAACAGAAATACAAATGTTCTTAGGACAGGGGTCGGCAACCTGCGGCTCGCTGGATGTGAAACCTGCGGTTCTTTGGATGTGAAACCGTCGACTCTTTAGTTAAAAGAATGAAAAAAAAAAAAAAAAATATTTAAAAATCGTTCTGAATGGATTAACGAAGATTAGGCACGATTAGGCACCGATGAATAATTAGATTAGTTTTTTTTTATTAAAAAACTTTATTTATGCGAGTACTTTATTTATTGTTGGCAAGGAGAAACAATTATGTGACTCCTTAAAAAACTTTGGAAATTATGTTAATTGTAATTTTTGGCTCATTCGACTGAAAAGGTTGCCGACCGAGCCCCTGTTCTAAGAAATGAAAAAAGGGTGAAAGGGTGAAGGGGGATAATTTCTCGAAAGAGACCACAGATAATATATCGATTTTGAATATTTCACCGTT